CTCCCTGGCAGTGCTCAAGGCCAGGTTGGATGGAGCTCTGAGCACCCTGGGCTGGTGGAAGATGTCCCTGCTCATGGCAGTGGGGTTGGAACCAGATGATCTTTAAGGTCCCTTCCAACCCAAACCATCCTATGATTCTACTTTGTAAGCTGTCAGCCTAGCTCTTGCTGCCATCTCCAGTTACTGACACCGCACCGATTTTAAGTATTGTCTAAGACGGGTCGTATTTTTTGCCACTCTTCCCCCATTAACCTCCTCACTCCTCAGAAGAGCATTAAGGGAAATCAGATTCATTACTTCAAGTTTCACAGGGAAACACCTGTCAGCAGTCAGAGTTTTGTGTCTGGAAAGCTGTGTCTTGTTACACTAAACTCCTGCTTGGATAAACTCACTTTCATCAATCTTACAGCTGGTCTTGGCTATTTCTCTCTTGTGAAGAAAAGATACCAAGTTCAGCTCACAACTCTGCACCTCCCTGCATTTGTTCCCGCCCCGAGGGTCAGCAGACCCATGAGTTTGCTCACACAGGGCTGAGCAGACCCCAGCCAGCAAGATTAGTAGGATCCCCGAGCAGAGGACAAGGCTTCGGTCTCAGCAGGAGACTCCTAGAAACCCTGGGTGTTCTGCAACTTGAGTTCCAGCACACATTCTCTGTGGAGAGCGACCTGGGTGTGCTGGGGGACGACAGGGTGACCATGAGCCAGCAGCGTGCCCTGGCTGCCCAGAAGGCCAATGGTCTCCTGGGGTGCATTCAGAGGAGTGTGGGCAGCAGGGCGAGGGAGGGTCTCCTCCCCCTCTGCTCTGCCCCACTGAGGCCCCATCTGCAGTGCTGTGTCCAGTGCTGGGCTCCCCAGTTCAAGAAAGATGAGGAGCGACAGGACAAGGGGCAACGGGCACAAACTGAAGCAGAGGAAGCTCCAGCTGTACCCGAGGAAGAACTTCTTCCCTCTGAGGGTGACGGAGCCCTGGCCCAGGCTGCCCAGGGGGGCTGGGGAGTCTCCTTCTCTGGAGATATTCCAGCCCCGCCTGGCCACGGTGCTGTGCAGCCTGCTGTGGGTGACCCTGCTTGGGCAGGGGGTTGGGCTGGGTGACCCCCAGAGGTCCCTTCTAACTCTGACCATTCTGTGATTCGCTCCCTGACCTAAAACAGTAACAAGAAGGGCACAGAGGTGGTACAAAAAGAGGGTCAGGACGTGATATGAACCCCAGGAGAAACCCTCAGGTGCTATCTGAAGAGCCTGTAGGCAGCTCAGCATTAACTGGTTCTCTCTATCTGAATTACTAATCCAGACAGGTTTCAGAGAAACAGAACAGACTGTTAAAAATAACAAAGTCCCTAAAGCAAGATCATGAATAGTCATTGGTATTGATGATGTGTCCCATCCTGGAAAACCCTGCTGCCGCGTTCCTTCTGAGCGGGTTTCCCTAACCTGGAAACAGTGCTTGCCTAAGAACGGTGTTTCGGCCATCTCTGTTCACACCACGTCTGTATCTTGGTACTTCAACCCTCTGCTCCTCAGTGGGATACCTGCACCTAAACCCCCAAAGGAAGCTTGCTTACTCACTACCCAGTGGTTTGCACACCTTCAGTTGTCAGCTTTCCCCATTTTAAAACATGACAAAGGATTTTTGAGCATTCTCTGAAAACACAGATACAGGCTGCATGGATGAACCCAAATACTGTAAAACCAGACACAGGTCAGTAAGGAAAGTTACATTTTCTTAATTATGCATAGAACTGAGGACACATCCAAGTGTCTGTGCAGGCCTGCAACTGTGGGAACCTAACACAGACATGATCTTTTCTTACCTGCATGACCAGGCAGCCATCTTACACTAGAAAAGCTGTTAAAAATAGCATAAAATGGCACGCCACCAATGCAGTTCACTACCGAAACTACCCCAGCAACTCTAATAAAATCATCAGGAAACCCTATCCAGGGTCTAGATTTAGTCCCAAAATCTAAAGAGAAAGCATAACCTTTGAAAGATCTTCCATCTGAAAAATGCTTCCTTGAAAATACTTTGCAGTCTCCTCATTCTCATTTTTAATATGCTAGATTTAAAAACACAATCTCACAGCGTTCGTAGAATTTTTATAATAGCAAAACAACATTCCTATCAGTAACTAACTTAATCTTACGTATCACTTGAAAAATATTACAGGCTAAGTTACTCAAGATGAGATTAAGATCTGTATAGAACAAGTGGTGATGGTTTTAAACTAGAAGAGGGGAGATTCAGACTGGATATAAGGAAGAAATTTTTCACGCTGACGGTGGTGAGGCCCTGGCCTGGATTGCCCAGCGAGGTGGGAGATGCCCCATCCCTGGAAACATCCCAGGCCAGGCTGGACGGGGCTCGGAGCAGCCTGATCCAGTTGAAGATGTCCCTGCTCGCTGCAGGGGGTTGGACTGGGTGGCCTCGAAAGGTCCCTTCCCACCCAAACCACGCCATGATTCTATGACCTCAGTTTCTGCCAAATTTAGTAAGAAACAGCTGCTGTTACCTTTCCTCCAGTTGCCACTGTCTCCTCATCCTGCTCATCTGAAAGGTAAAAGCAATGAGAATTACACCAATAAAAAGCACCAGATTGCTCATCAGCCTTTCTAGAAATGCAGTCGCTTAATTGGAAAGAATACTTCATTTGTTTTGGAAGGGAAGTGAGCAGGAAAGCAAAATGGACCACACACCATTAAGGCAATCTCATCCTTATGCAGGCACTGAACTATCCCAGACGAGGGAACAGATAAAGATACCAAGGAAGGATAATTACAATTTTCTCACACTTCTGAACCCACACCTAATTACCACCTTTCCCAGTGCCCTAGGTGTAGCCTTGTGTAATAGGATACGGGACACTGGTTTGCATCTCTTATGCCTAAGGCTTAGCAAAGCTCAGAGAACCTGTGATTCACCTTGATTCCCAGTAAGAAAAGAAAAATTCTGCCAGGAAAGAGCTGAGATGTCAAATTAAAAAAAAAAAAAAAAAAAAAGGAAAAAGAGACCTCCAAGGGAACAGCGTTCCAAGTGACAGTCAATACGTTTCATCTCAAATACATACAAAAACTGAAATAATTCAATAAAACGGTAGAATTAGAGATTCCTTTTAAATTTGAGAGATTTAAAAATATTTACTCTGTTGGCCTGCAAGCAAAACTTTACTATAAAACGTAGGGGAGGGGGTGCTGGAGGGTGTTGTGCGCTTGCTTTACCGAGGTCTGCGACCGTTCCTCCTTTCACCGGCGTGTTTTCGCTGTCTTTCTTTGGGTTCACTGCAAAAGAAAGCAAGATTGAATGATGGGTAACCATCAGAAGAGATCAAATTATCCGAGACTCGCACGCTTTTACTGCCTCCTCAATGCACAGTTTTGTTGGTCCTGTCTTTGCAGTTCAAAAGAGTTCATCTGCGCAGGCGGAGTACAACAGTCCGTTTGTCTGCCTGCTCCGCAATGTCACATCCGAACACAAAGCGGCTGCTATTCATGCAGTCAGACCAAGTACTGCACTTTTTCCACCTCTACAACACGTAAAAAAATCTTACATGCAAGTTCAAACCAAGTAAAAACCAAACGATGTGACACCCAAAACAGTTTGGAGTCAAGGACTCGACAGAAGGAATTATTTTTCTGACTTCTCTTTACTTCACGGGCATCGCACAGACCAACAGGTTCCTGAACAGGATTACAAACCGAACGCTCTGGGCACCTCACTAGAGTTCCCACTCATTTGGTGTGCTTATCTCAGGTGCTTGGCATACAATTATTTCCCTCCAGAAAACTCCACCCCCCAAAACATGATCTCTGTATAATGGGTGACAGCAATCCGAACACAGCGGAAACTAAACATGTCGGTGGATTTTTGTTAAATGTATCTCAAAAAGCCAAAAGAAGGTGAATCTGCTGCCCTTCACTGCCACGTTCAAATCCCTGACTAGAGAAATCTGGATGGGCACAGATCACCTGGCCCCACGGCCACAAAGTATTTCAAAGATTTGGCAAAATACACGCATATTTCTTCCGTGCAGTTTAAGCAATTGTGTTACCATGCAAAGAATCCAGCGTATGCATATTTTACCATTTTTGGGAAGTACCACTTCTTCTATATTAGGTACCGGTGTGGGGTCCTCCATGTCCTTGGTAAGATCTTCTTGCTCATCTTCTTCTTTCTGCCCTCTCCTTTTCCCGTACAAGGCTGCTTGCCTAAAACAGAGAGTACACAAATTCTCTGCCAGATGCTCTCACCCTCACGTTATTCTTCAGATATCAGGATTAAAGGACTGGGTTAAAACACTTCTGATGTAGGAAGTGGTGCTGGCACACTTGATGAAAAATATCCTCCATACATTACTAAAACAAAGCAAGTTTGTTGCTTTTTTTTTAAAAAAAAAAGGTCTTTTTTTAAAAAAAAAAAGGTTTTTTCCACTATTTCAAGACCGGAGACCACCACCATATATAAATCTGGATTCCAGCCCAAAACTGCCTCCAGCACGTTGGCATCCCTGGCATACTGGTTAAAAAGGAAACAGGCTGGCTTGTGCGATTGACTCCGTGTGAGGAGGAAGCCATTTGGGGAACAAATGCCTCTCCGTATAGAATCTAGCTCCAGCTTTACATTTGGAATAAACAGGAATTCAGAGTTTCAACTCCTCCTTTCTCACCTCAGATGACAAATTCCCAGTTTTGCCTTACTAGACCCCATCAGGTCTATCAAACAAGACATGGACTTTCAGTTCAAAAGGGCCCCCTCCATATCCACACATAAACCCCCATAAATAAGCTTTTATTTAGAAATAATGTTAACTTTTTTTAAAAAAAAAGATCAAACTAGCATTGGAAAAAACCCTAATCTGTAGCCACAAATGCTCTTCTGTTAAAGTTCTATTTGAGGAGTGGACTTTAAAATACATGGCTACGTAGACCAAAAAATCCTTGATTAAAAGCAGTAATTTATGGGGCTGTAATTCAAAGCGTACATGGACAAGGGCAAGGTCCTGCGCCTGGGGAGGAACAGCCCCAGGCACCAGTCCAGGCTGGGGCTGAGCTGCTGGAGAGCAGCTCTGCGGAGAGGGACTGGGAGTGCTGGGGGACGACAGGGTGACCATGAGCCAGCAGCGTGCCCTGGCTGCCCAGAAGGCCAATGGTCTCCTGGGG